CCACCCCGGCATTTCCACCTGGAGTGCCATGGTCTCGCCAGCGCAGCCCCGCAAACCCCCTCACCGCCGCCCCCCTCACCGCCACCACCCCCATCACCGCCGTCGCCGCCCTTGCCCTCGCCACCACCGCCCTTGCCGCCGCTGCCCTCGCCGCCACCGCCCTCGCCGCCGCCGCCCTCGCCGCTGCCACCGCCACCATCGCCACCACCGCCCTTGTTACCACCGCTCTCGCCGCCTCCCTCAGCGCCGCCGCCCTCCGCGCTGCCACCCTCGCCGCCACCACCGTCACTGCCGCCGCCTGCTACGCCACCTCCCACTCTGCACCCACCCTCGCTGCCGCCGCCCTTGCTGCCGCCACCGTCGCCACCGCCCTCGCCGCCGCCGCCCTCGCCACTGCCACCGCCACCATCGCCACCACCGCCCTTGTTACCACCGCTCTCGCCGCCTCCCTCAGCGCCGCCGCCCTCCGCGCTGCCACCCTCGCCGCCACCACCGTCACTGCCGCCGCCTGCTACGCCACCTCCCACTCTGCACCCACCCTCGCTGCCGCCGCCCTTGCTGCCGCCACCGTCGCCACCTCCCTCGCCGCCACCGCCTACTTCGCCTCCTCCTATTCTGCCACCCAGCCTGCCGCCGCCCTCCCCACCACTACCCTCGCCACCACCGCCGTCTCAACCGCCACCCTCACCGCCGCCGCCACCGCCAGCCCCCCCACCCTCACCCTCGCCGCCCTCGCCACCTCCACCCTCGCCACCTCCGTCCTTGCCACCGCCACCCTCGCCACCTCCACCCAGCGCACCTCCGCCGTCGCCACCACCTCCCAGCCCTCCTCCGCCGTCGCCGCCACCGCCGCCGCCACCCTCTCCTCCGCCCCCAAGCCCGCCGCCTCCCTCGCCGCCGCCACCGTCTCCGCCGCCGCCCTCGCCACCGCTCCTGAGCCCACCACCTCCGTCACCGTCACCACCTTCGCCGCCGCCGCCCTTACCACCGCCACCCTCGCCACCGTCCCCTTCCCCGCCGCCGCCCAGTTCGCCACCCAATCTACCGCTGCCCTCGCCCTCGCCACCCTTGCCGCCACCCACGCCGCCATTTCCGCCTCCCCTTATCTCGATCTGCGTGTCGGCCGTTCCTTCCTCGTGCAGCAGCTCCGAGAATGAAGTCCAGCACAACAGAAACGTGGACATCGTCATTACTGGCGACACGGTGGAGGCCGGAGACGTAATCAAGTGGGTACGCAAGGACGCGCTTGGCAGTCCCGCTAGCTGCGCTGGAGCGGGCGTAACTTCGCTGAGTGGCGACGATTTTGTGGTGCCCTCCGACCCCGTGGATGCCCTCGCGTCCAGCATTGACCACGGCGGCGAGGTGCGCCTAGAAGGGGGGCATCTCATGACGCAAATCGTGCTTCTAGGAGTGACTGACACGGCCGACGCCGATCGTGGCTACGCCGGCAACGTGTTCCTGCCAGCATCCGCCCCGCCCGCGTCGCCACCATGGTGGGAAGGCGTGGCGAACACCGCCTACGAGGACACCGGCACGTACGTAGCCTGCTTCGCGGACGCAAGCGTCGGCTCCCCCAGCGATCCAAGCTGGCCCGAAGATGCCAACTTTCTCCTACTTGACCACGTGATCCTTCATATCTTCCACGCGCCGCCTTCGCCTCCGCCCACACCACCGCCGCCCTCACCGCTGCCGCCCTTGCTGCCGCCGCCCTCACCACCGCCGCCCTCGCCGCCAGCACCCTCGCCGCCGCCACCCTATCCACCGCCGCCCTCACCTCTGCCACCGTCACCGCCACCACCTTCACCACCCCCGCCTTCACCATCCCCGCCCTCGCCGCCGCCGCCCTCGCCGCCGCCGCCCTCGCCGCCGCCACCCTCGCCGCCGCCACCCTCGCCGCCGCCACCCTCGCCGCCGCCGCCCTCGCCGCCGCCGCCCTCGCCGCCGCCGCCCTCTCCACCGCCACCCTTGCCGCCACCACCCTCGCCGCCGCCACCCTATCCACCGCCGCCCTCACCACCGCCGCCCTCACCGCCACCACCCTCACCACCCCTGCCTTCACCATCCCCGCCCTCACCGCCGCCACCCTCGCCGCCGCCACCCTCGCCGCCACCACCCTCGCCGCCGCCGCCGCCACTCTCGCCGCCGCCACCCTCGCCGCCACCGCCCACACCTCCACCACCATCACAACCACCACCCTCACCACCCTTGCTTCCGCCGCTCACACCACCACCCTCTCTGCCGCCGCCCGTACAACCCTCACCACCGCCGCCCTCTCCGCCACCGCCTTCTCCCCCGCCCCCGCGAACGCCGCCGCCGCTGGTGCCGTCTCCGCCCCCGCCATCGCCGCCGCCGCCGTTGTCGCCGTCTCTGCCCCCGCCATCGCCGCCGCCGCCCTCGTTCCCACCTGGGACGCCATTGATTTCGCCACAGCAGCCTCCACCACCGCCATTCCTGCCACCATCGTCACCTTCTTTGCCTCCACTGCCTTCGCCACCCCCGCCATCTCCACCGCCATCGCTTCCACCCGCTCCACCGCCGCCCTCGCCGTTGCGTCCACCCACTCCTCCGTCCTCTCCCCCCACCCCTTTGCTTTCGCCCGTAACGCCGTCGCCGTCGCCGCCTCTGCCGCCTCTTTTGCCGCTGCCATTGCAGCAAGGCTTGACAGATAATGGCGTTCAACCGCCGTCACTATTGTGGCTCATTGGCCTCTGCCTCGGCCTGTGCTGCGTGTGTGGCTGCTGCGGCGGCATAATACGAGCCGCTCGCTCAGGAATGCGGCTTGCGCGCGAAGCGAAAGCTGGCGACCTGCAAATCCACGTCCAGCTTGGAGGGTTGCGCAGCGTCAAGCTTGGAGCGGACATTTTCATCCGCGGCGAGGAGCGGCTCACAGTGACTTGCGTCACCGAAGTCAGCAGCCGCCTCTCTCGCGCAAAGCGGCTTCTCTGCGGCACCCGAGACTCATCGACAGACCTGATCCTCTCTGTCGCCCCAACCTTGCAAGGCAGCTATGCTCGAGGATCAACGGTGTGGCGACCCGACTCGTCTCGTGAGCGCCTTGGCCTACGGCCTTGGACACGCCGCCTGTCCTTCGCCGATGGAACTTTCGAGGATGGCTTTGGTATTCGAGAAGCAGAGACGCCGGGCGGGACGATCTTGCTCGCTTCGAACTCCCACTCTTGCGACTCGGTGGGGACCCAAACCGAGCCAGTCTACTGCCAGCCGGAGAACATGAGGTGCTGATGTGCTTGCGCGCTTGTACGTACTTGTGGCGACTACTGTGATGCATGTTACGTGGCGAGGAGTCTCGCTCTTACACAACCTCGAGTGCTGTCAAGATCAATCTCGGGGTTGGTGGTACGTGTGGCCTAAGACACAGTTACAGAGCCGTGTGGGGTGAGATCAGATGCATGCGAGAAGCTCAACATGTCTGCATGTGTATACGTGGCTGGGTTCACAGCGATTCTAGGTAAATTGGGAAACCAAATCACGGTCGCGGCCTTCCGACTCGCGCCTCCGCCTCACTGGCACTATTGTAGCCCTGGCCGGTGCGCGTGCGGAGTTGAAGTTCCGGAGTAAAAATTCGAACGCGTTCTCTCACGGTGACCAAAAAATGTCCACCTCAGAGGCACCTCCGGAGGCAGGCCGCCGCACGCCGGCGACACAGTTCCAGCTGTCGAGCTGACCCGCAGCTCCTCTCAGAGCGGGAACTGTGACGAAAGTTGACTGAGGCGGTTGTCAGGAATCATCATACGGATCACATGGTGGCTCTCTCATGACAGGAGACCGCCCGACCACTCCTGGGTGGCACTGCCACCGGTGTCGCTCGACGTCCTGTCGACAGCGTGCCGACAGCGACACAGACCATGTGGGACGCGCCGAGTATCGACCTCTACTGCTTACCCAGCCTTCGAGTGTATCCTGGCTGTGGTCCCACACCCACTGGTGTCCATCTCAGAGACCGCAGGAGGTCATGAGGGTCGATGGGAGAGCCAACCCCACAATGCCTAAAAAGCCGCTCGCTCGCTCCTATCCGTGCCACCCTATCCGTGGTCCTGCCGCCACCGCGCCATCCTCGCTCCTTCCTGCCGCCGCCCTCTGCTCAGTCGTTTGACCCGCCGCCCAATGCTCCGCCGTTCGCTGCCGTGGTCTGCCGCCGTGCCGCCGCTCCTTACCGTGCCGCCCCTTCCGCGCCTCGCCGCCCTTGCCATTTATTCGCCGTCCCTCCTGCCGTGCGTTACCGCCGTGCCGCCGTACCGCCGCTCCTACAGTGCCGCGCCGCCTCCCACACGCACACACCTTACCTCCTGCTCGACCGAGTTTGCGATGAGAAGTGACCCGAGCCGCCGGGTGCCCCGCAGCGGCCTCGCTGGACCAGAAGAACCGGTCCGCGAGTGCTCCGCAGCAGCCTCGCTGAGCCAGAACGTCGGCTCGCGAGGTGGGGTGCTAGTATGAGCCCGACCCAGGTCGTAGTGTTCTTGCTCCCAGCGCTTGCGCTTCGGCGGTTAGTGGTGCACTAACCTCCGAGAAACCCATCGGGTCGCTCCTCATTGCAAACCCTGTCAGCAGAGTCTCCTACGGGAATGTACGTAAGAGCTACATACACTGAAAAACCCAGCCCAGTACTTTACCATCTGCAAGCCGCCTGCTCCTTTTTACCCATCTCAAAGTGAAGTGTGTCCATTTTTGTTTATTTACCATCTGGATCTGCAAGACCATTATATAAGAGCTCATCACACTGCGCTCTTGCAGTGAGATACCGGGGATACGTGATAGTGCGTCGTCGCCGAGGCCCCGAGCTCGCTCTGCGTGAGAGATGCACATGCATCTCATACTGACAGGCTATATGTGACCTATGTCTCTCGCTCGCGGACGGCGGGCGCGGGGCTCCGCCGCGGGCCACTTGCACTCGATAAATATCAACGACTACCCGCAGTGCTGCCCGCGGACTTTGATAGATATGAGAGACAACCCCGGGCTCGCAAGGGACCCTAGCTGCGTGCTATGTCAATATACCTCCCGACGGGGCGTGCAGTCCTCACGCGGCCGCGGCCGGCGCGCCGAGGAGGGATCGCAGCGAATGGCGGTAGCGCAGCGAAGCGAGGAGCGAGCCCTTGGGGAGGCGCGGTGACTCGCGCGCCTTGAATGTGAAGTAGAAGAGCACGCGCCGGCCCTGCGCGTTCTCTCCGCCGCCATGCAGCAGCCGCGAGTCGAAGAGGGTCGCTGCGCCGGCCGGGAGGGTGCCGATGCGGCGCGGGGAGGAGCGGAGCAGCTGCAGCTTCTCGCCGGGCTCGCCGTTGAACCGCTCGTGCGCGGCGCGCGTGTGTGTGCCCGCGAGGAAGAAGGTCGGGCCGAGGTCGGGCGTCACCTCTTGCAGCGCGACAAAGGCGGTCAGCAGCGCCGTCTGCGGCGTGAAGCCCGTGTCTGGGTGGACGGGCTGGCGCGGGGCGCCGCGGTCGGAGATGAGGGCAGAGAGCTCGAACAGCTCCGGATCCTCGCCGAGCACCTGCGGTCCGTCGGTGAGCTTCAAGTCACCAGCAGGTCACCAGCAAGCCTCCACGCCTCCAGTCACCAGGGCCGCACACTGATCAACGACGCGCCCTACACTCCTCTTGCCGAGCGCCTCCTCGAGCGGCGGCGAGAGGAGGGGGGGGGATAATCTCGGCTAGTCTCGGCCAAGCTCGGCTAAGCGCGGCCAATCTTCACCTCCTCGAGCAGCGGCGCGAGCTGGGCAGCGCAAGCCTCGAGAGCGGAGGCGACGGGCGGGTCGAGCGGGAGGTAGAGGTCATACCTGCGAGTGGTCCATCGCACGTCCCTCACGCACTGACGCGTCCCTGACACGTCCCTGACGCGTACCCGCGGACAGTGGGGAGCGGGGATGGGGCGGGGATGGGGCGAGGCGCGGCAGAGTGCTCTGCGGCGGCGGCAGGCTCGTCTGCTAGGCTCGTCTGCTGCGGCGCCTGCTCGCGCGGGAGAGGACGCCTCCAAAGCGCTGCTCCGGAGCGGTGTCGTCGGCCGCCTCTGTCTTCGCCGTCTCCAGCCACTCCTCGACGTGGCTGCGGAGCCGCGCAGCCTCCGACGCCTCGAGCAGTCCGTCGACGAAGAGCACACCCTCCGACTCGAGCGAGGCTGCCGCCGCCGCTGTGGAAGTGGCGACCGCCGCCGCGGGCAAGCTCGCGGGCGGAAGCAGCGGCGCCTGCTCCATGAGATCGCCCTCCTCGTTTGCAACCTGCTGCACCGCGCTCGCCTCGAGGGCGGCCTGCGTCGCGCCGCCGTCGAAGAAGAAGAGGCCGGCGCCCGCAGCGGCAAGCGCAACGAGCAAGAGGTTGCCGGCGACCACATCGTCGACGCCGGCGCTCGTCAGCGCGTAGAAGAAGGCAAAGCAGAAGGCCGTCAGGCCGCCGGCCACGCCGAGCGCCTGTAGCGTCTCGCTTGGCCCCTCCGTCTCCTCCATCCGCACCACACCACCGCCGCGGCGAGCCGCCTCTGCAACGACAGCGGGCGGCGCGGGCGACAGGCCGGCGGACTGCGCTGGAAGCGAGGAGAGCGGCGGGCTGGCGCGCAGCGCGGGGACTAGGAAAGAGGTAGAGAGGGCTGAGAGAGCGAGCATAGCAGGCGAGCCCCAGCCGGGCGTCGCCACCGCAGGTGCGAAATGCTGGTGGGCTTCCCAGAAAAGAATCTTACAACAAAACTCCCTCGCACAACACTGGGCACGGGACTGGCGCGCACTGGCACGAACACAGAAAAGAACTAGGGAGTCGTGGTAGAAGGGAGCTCGGCGGGAAAAGATTCGATGCTTTGGTTTTTCTTGAAGTTTGACGCGACATGGGGACGTGTCTGTCCTCGACCCAGCCCTAGCTTGGGATGTCCCTTGTATTTATTTATTTATTGACGCGACACAAGAGCAATCCGGCAGGAATCTGTTATGTGACGATCAAACTCGGCGGGGGGGGGGGCGGGGTGCGGCGGGCTGTGTTCGGGTCGCTCCTGAGGTGAGCGCCTCCGCCCTCGCCCCCGCCCCTGCCCTGGCTGGCCTGGGTGGCATCTCCCCATTATCACGCGCCAAGTGGGAGGGAAGTGGACGGGGCCCTGAGCCGACCTAGCCCCAGACGGAACGGGGCCCCCGGGGGGGGGGGGGCGCCCAACACGTGCCCGGATTACTGTGCCTTCCCCGGGTGCAGCCTTTCGGTTCGTGAAGGGTCGGTGCGAGTCGTGCTTTCCTCGATTCCCCGCCCTCCCCCGCCATCTCCGCCGCTTTGGCTCTACAGCCACCACCGGGAGGCGGCGAGGCGAAATCAGACTCGGTCGAGAGACCCCAGATTGGCATCCATCCATGCCTCTCTGGACAGGGTGGCCCGCCACAACGACCCCTGGAATTGCGACTCGCCGCTTTCCTCCCGCTGTGATTCTGTGTGAGCTCTGAGTCTTGTCTGCCAACAATATACCTAAAAGGAGATGGGTAAAAAGGAACAGGTCCCGCCCTGCGGTCTTTCCAGGGTTCTTTGTGGGTGTGGTCGGCGACTAGCCGGGGTCGTCCTAGTCCGACGATGTACTTACCACGCCTCCCGGTCCCCGGCCACACAGGGTGCTAGAGCCATGCCCAAGAGACGCAGCAACGTGCTGCGCGGCGCGGACAGCGACGAGGACGAATCGGCGGCAACCGGGCGCGCCGGGCTCGGAGGCCTGAGGCTCGCAAAGGCTCTGCTCGGGGAGGAGGACCTCGCCGAGCTGCGAGCTGCGTTGACTGTGCAGCAGAGTGCGCGCAACCCGCGATGGAGCGCGCCGCCGCCCTTTGCCGTGTTTCGCGAGACGGAGCACCTGATCTCTGTGCCGCGCCACTTTCCGCTCAAGCCCGCGCTGCGCGAGGCGGCCAGGCCAGCCCTGTGCGCGGGCGAGGCGGCGACGCTGATCTTCCGGGGCTCGCTCACGCCGCTGCAGGAGCAGGCGGTGCGAGCCATGCGCGAGGCGTACGATCGCGAGGGCGGCGGCATCCTCAGCCTCTACTGCGGCGGCGGCAAGACGGTGTGCGCGCTGCGGCTCGTCGCCGACGTCGGGCAGAGGACGCTCGTCGTCGTGCACAAGGAGTTCCTGGTGGAGCAGTGGATCGAGCGGATCCGCCACTTTCTGCCGGAGGCGCGCATCGGGCGGATCAAGCAGAACGTCGCCGAGGTGCACGGCACGGACGTGGTGGTGGGGATGCTGCAGTCCCTCACGCGCCGAGGTGACGAGTACTCGCTCGGCGGGTTTGGTCACGTGGTGGTGGACGAGTGCCACCACATCTGCGCGCGCTCCTTCTCTTCGCTCCTCTTCGGCGTCGGCGGCGTCGGCTGCCGCTTGCTCGGGCTCTCCGCCACCGCCACGCGCTCCGACGGCCTGACCCAGGTTCTGCACTGGTTCATGGGCGCCACCGCATTCAGCGCCACGCGTGGTGCAGCCGCCGCAAGGAGGGTGCGTGTGCGGCGGCTGCGTGGCAGCGGCGGCGACGCTGTTGGCGGCGGCAGCGGCGTCGAGATCGTCTCGGCCCTTGCGGAGGACGAGCGGCGCTCGCGCCGCGTCGCTGCGCTGGTCGCGGCGCTCGCGGCGTCTGGCAGGAAGGTGCTCGTGCTGAGCGACCGGAGGGCCCACCTACTCTCGCTGCAGCCGCTCGTGCTCGAAGCGGCCGCGGCGGCCTCGCCGGCGGCGGCCTCGCGGCTGCCGGCGGCGGCCTCGCAGCCGGCGGCGGACACGCAGCCGGCGGCGGACTCGCAGCCGGCGGCGGACACGCAGCCGGCGGCGGACTCGCAGCCGGCGGCGGGCGCGGCGGCCGTCGGCGCGGTCAGCGTCGACTTTTACTTGGGCGGCATGCGGGCGAGCCAGCTGCGGGATGCGGCGGAGAAGAGCGTGCTGCTGGGAACCTATGGGATGTCAAGCGAGGGCCTCGACATCGCCGCGCTCGACACGCTCGTGCTCGCGACGCCCCGGGCGAACGTGGAGCAGAGCGTGGGCCGCATCATGCGCGGCGGCGCGGCCAATGAGCCGCTTGTTGTCGACGTGGTCGACGGCGGTGCGTACTGCGCCCGCCTCGCATCGAAGCGGCTCTCCCTGTATCGCTCCGCTGGGTACCAGCTCGACGACGTCGGCGGCGGCGGCGACGGCAGCGACGGCGGCGACGTCGACGGCGACGCTGCTTCGGACGCGGACGAGGATGCCGTTGCCGACACCGGTGCAGGCGCGGCGGACGACGGCGAGGCCGCCGAGGGCGCGGGCCAGGGCAGCGCAGGGGCTGTAGTGGGCGCTGCCGGCGCTCGAGGAGGCTCGGGAGATGTGAGGGTTCTGATCGACGGGTTCCGGTTCCGGCCGCAAGCACACGCGCAAGGGGCCTGCGCGGCCGGCAGTACACACTCTGCTGGGGGGCTGGTCAGGTCGAAGTACTTCGCTTGAAATTCCAGTTTCACCTCGGTTTAACACCGCCGGTGCACTTGGAGCACTTGGAGTGCAGTCGTCAGCCTCACCCCCAGGGCCGGGGAGCTAAGAAGCGCACCCAGCGGAGCGCTTGGAGCACTGGACTTGGAGCACTTGGAGTCGCCGCACTTGGAGCACTTGGAGTGCAGTCATTAACCGCACATCCAGGGCCGGGGAGCTGAGAAGCGCACCCAGCGGGCCGGATGATTGGGATCGGGTTGCGGGCAAGAGAGCCCTAGCCCTGGGGGGTGCGCGGTCGCAGGGCCATATCGTTACCGCCTTTTTTTCTCTGCCGAGCGAGAGAGGCGCGCGTCGGAGAGGTGTTTCGACCGAGTGTGTTTCGACCGAGTGCTATCCGATACGAGCGTCCTCACGTTTGATGCACTGGCAGACGATCTCTGCTCGCCATGCCAAGCACGTGTGCTGCAGGCGACGACCCGTCCGAGGGCGCTGCCGAGGCAGACCCGCCCTTCCCTTGGCGCGCCGTCCTCATCCTTCTCCTGGTGCGGCTCGGCGACGGCCTCGTCTCCGTGATGCTTTATCCGATGCTGCCATTCATGGTGGCCGGCTTCGGCGTGCCGCCGAGCAGCGTCGGCATGTGGGTCGGCGTGCTGGGCACCTCGTACAACCTGCTGCAGATCCCGGCCAACGTGGCCTGGGGCCACGCCTCTGACCGCTTCGGCCGGCGGCCCGTCATGCTGCTCGGCCAGCTGTCCCTCGCCGCGGCCACACTCGCTCTGGGCGTCTCGCGCTCGCTCCCCTTCGCCATCGGCGCCCGCTGCCTCTCCGGAGCGCTCCACGGCAACCTCAGCGTCGCCGCCGCCGCCGCCTGCGACGTGACTCGGCCGGCGGAGCGTGCGCGCGCCTTCTCACTGCTCGGCCTGGTCTTCTCGCTCGCCTTCGGCCTCGGGCCGCTTCTCGGCGCCCTCCTCTCCCGCCCTGCCGCCTGGGACCCCGCCGTCCGCAAGTCGCCGCTCGACACGTACCCGTACCTCCTTCCGTGCGCCGCCGCGTCGGCCGTCTGCATGTGCGGCGCCGTCTCTCTCGCCTGGCTCGAGCTGCCCCCGCGAGCCACATGCTCCTCCTCCCCGAGCGCCCAGCCGCCTAGCCCGGCCCCTCTCACGCCGGCAGAGGGCGGCGGCGGTGGCGGCGGCGGCGGCGGCGGCGGCGGCGGGGCGGCGGCAGGCGGCGGTGGAGGGGCGGCGGAGGGCTGCGATGCCTCGCCGCCGCCGCCACGGCACACCTCCGCCCCGTCCGCGGAGGCGGCAGGGCTGGGCGCGCCACTCCTCCTCGGCGCCTCCGCCGCGCCGGCCGCGCCTCCTCCGCCCTCTCCTGGCAGCGGGAGGGGCTCCGCCCCAGGCCTGCGGTGCAGTGCGGGCATGGGCGCGCTGTGCGCCGCCCACTGCGGCTACGGCTTCCTCGTCGCGGGAGGCGCCTCCCCTGCGCCCTCTCCCCTCCCGCTCCCCTCTCCCGCCGCCGAGGCAACCGCGGCCTGACTGCCACAACTCGGCTGCCCAGGCGCCGAGCTCTTTCCGCTCTTCGCGTCGGCGCCGCGGCCAGAGGGGCTCGGCCTCACCACCGACCAGACGGGCTTCGCCCTGTCGCCGCTCTCGCTAGGCGCCTCGCCGTCCCCGTGCCCCGACCCCTCCCCCGTCGCCTTGACACGGCTGCCCCTCTGAGAGAGGCTGTGAGAGAGAGGCTGTGAGAGAGAGGCTGTGAGAGAGAGGCTCTGAGAGAGAGGCTGTGAGAGAGAGGCTGTGAGAGAGGCTCTGAGAGAGAGGCGGCAGCGGCAGGCTGCGCCCTCTTGTGCGCCTAGGCCTCATCGCCGGCTCGCTCTCCTTCCCCTTCCTCGCCGCGCGCCACGGGCCCGCTGCCGTCTACCGCGCCGCCGCGGGCCTCTACTTCTTCTCAAACGTGCTGATGCCCCAGCTCACCTCCGCCCAGCGGCTCGGCGCCCTCCCCCTGTGGGCCTCTGTCGTCGCCATCTCCCTCGTCCGATCCCTCGGAGGCCCGCTCGGCTTCCCCGCGCTGGCCGTGCTCCTCAACGCCGCCCTCGCCGTGGGCGAGAGGCCGCGGGCGAGACGACCACCGCTGGCCCGCTTCCCCAATCTCCGCGTCGTCACTCTCCGCGGCGGCGAATGACCGTAGGGCCTGTGGAATGGCATCGCCTCTTCGTGTCTCGCCGCCGGCCGCGCCGCCGCGCCCATCGCTGTCGGCTCCGTGTGGTCGCTCGCCCTCCGCCACTCTGGCGAGCCCTTGGAGAGCGGCGGCGCGAGGGCGTGGCCGTGGCCGGTGGACTACCACCTGCCCTTTTACCTATTATGCGTGGTGTCGGTACTGTGCGGGTTGCTCTCCCTCCGCTTCCCGAGAGCCGCGTCCGGAGCTGTCTTGTGATCTCTGCTTCCTTGTTTTTGTCGAACTTGTGTGACACGTTTTTAGAAAACCAACTTTTAGCAAGGCCTACATGTATTCTGTGTGCGGTCGCCTCGCTTCAACCTTCGTGCCACCTCGCGGTCGCCCCCTTCTCGTCGTGCCTTTTCTTTCTTTTCTTGAGCTGCGAAAATTCTTGTTGGCTGGGGAACAAGCCGGCCGCATACTACAGTGGTCACACCGAGCGCCCGACGGGGACATCCAAGCGCAGGCCCCGCACGCGGCCCTTCTGATGTTCGCTTTGCGCGGCTTCCGCGCCTTCGCGAAAGCGGCGCCGGTGTGTTAGAGTTGTGGCCCAGCACAGCACACAGCCGGCACTCAAAGGCCGTCCTCACGTCACTCTACTCCTCATACCAGGCTGCGTCGGCTGCCGCCGTCTGCACAGTGAAGGGCTCCGCCTCCGACTATATCGCGCAGACGCAGGTCGAGTCCGCGGCTGGCGTGGACTGGCCGCGCAACGCCGCCTTCGCCGCCTTTTCTGGCCTCTACCTCGGTGTTGGGCAGCATCTGATCTACAACAGAGCATTTACGGTGCTGTTTGGGAGCGGCCAGGATCTGCGCACCGGTCTGAAGAAGGTGCTCGCGGACAGCCTCGTGCACGTTCCGCTGATATACCTGCCGCTCTACTACCCCTTCAAGAGCGTAGTGCTCGGCGAGGGTAGTTTTCTCGACGGGCTAGCCCGCTACCGCGCCGACGCTCACGACGTGCTCACTACGTACTGGAGCATCTGGCCGGCGCTGCACCTGGTCAACTTCACGCTCACGCCGCCTGAGTTGCGCATCAGCCTCGTTGCGGCCGTGAGCTTCGGTTGGCTCGTTTATTTGTCGTGGCGCTCGCACGCCGATGAGGAGGTGTCTGGCAGTGAGGAGCACACCACAGCTGCGCTGCATGGCGGTGGGTAGGGCCCGGGTCCAAGCCGTTGTGAAATCGGCCTGGTGAAATGTCAAATGAGAGATGTTCTCATTTTAGGCTGTGTTATACTTCTTAAGTAAGGTTCGAACGACAGCCCAGCCCTTGTGGCCATCTCGCTGCATGGCCATATTGCATATCGGCATCGCACGCGCTTCACAACCGAACAAACCAAACACAACCGCGCCAGTGCGTGCATGTTGTGTCCACACACAGACCCGCGAAAAACACTGCTCACTGCACAGCCACACACTGGCCTTTTACGGTTTTCAGGTGCCGGGAGGGTGCTGGTAACACGTGCCAGTCCGCGCCTGTGTCGACCAACGAGCTTGTGAAGATCCAGTGCGTTTATGTGAAGATCGAATGCAACTTGTGATGAAGGACGCGCGACGCGCGCGCGGTTTGGGGCGTTTATTTTACATGAAGGCTTCGCGCTACGCGCTCCTCGCGACGCAGCACGCGCGCGCGCAGCTCGCGTCGCCGGCGCGGAGCGCCTCTACGCCGCGCCCCCGCGACGAATGTGGGGTGTGTATAGCCCGAAGACGCCTATGACGGTGGACGAGTTTCCGGGCTCGGTCCATTCGCTGGATGTGCTCGTCTTCACCTTGGTGCTTCTGGTGCTCGCGCACACCCGCGGCTCGCCATGGAAGCTTGCGCTCGCCGCCGCGTCGCTCGCGCTTGGCCTCCTGACCGAGCAGCTCAGCCTGCGGTTGGGAGGGACGCACTGCCACGCGAGTGGGATTGTCAACGTCTCGACGTGCTCCTCGGCCAACTCGGTCTTCTGGTACATTCCGTGGGTCTACACGGGCGTGACTTGTGCCCGCCGCCTGACCGACGAACGCTCGTGGGCCTTTCCTCTGCTCAGCGGTATGCTCTTCTTCGGGCTGTGCGGAGTGTACGAAGCGCAGGGTCCGCTGGTGGGCTGGTGGCGCTGGCCGGCGGCCGATGGCCTTGTCGCGTCTGGCTGCACCATCTGGCAGGCGGGGCCACTCGGGCTCGACGCGCGCGGCCTCGTTGCGTCACCGCACGTGATGGAGGCGCTCGGCGAGCGGCTCTTCGGCGTGCCGGTGATGGCGCCCTACTTCCACTTCGCCTTCGGCTGGGGAATCGCCGTGGTCTATCAGCTCACCGCCTTCAAGTCGCACGCGCTGCCGGTACTCCTCGGGCCGACAATCGCACTCGTCTGGGACCCCGCCATGCGGGTCGTCTGCACCGCCTTTGGCGCCAGCAAGTTGGCGGCGGTCTGCGCGCTGATGCTCGGCTCGACGTTCGCGGCTCTGGCGCTCTCAGCGCCGCCACAGCCCTCTCCTCCGCGCGACCTGCTCCTCTTCTCCATCCCACTCCTCTCCGGCACGACCTTTGCCCTGCATGCGATCGTCGGCGCCGGCGCCCTTCGCGAGCCGCCGGAGCTCAAGCTCTTCGTGGTGACGCTCGCGCTCTGCGCCACGCTCCTGTTCGCACGCTCCTGCGGCCTCCTCCCGCGCGTGCCGATCGCGAGCACGGCGACCGAGGCGAAGAAGTGGGCGTGAGAACACTGTGCCTTGGTAGTTGAGACGGCTGGGAGGGACCGCTAAGGTACAGGTCGTTTGTGCACCGACGCCCGCGTGCCCAAGCATGCGCTTGTGCGCCTAGCTCCAGTATCCCCACGTAGAATAGTGCAAGGTCCGACAGGTTCGACAGGGTCGCGCTCAAATTTCTTTTTTTCGAAGCCGCGCGCGGGAGAGAAGCATCCGCAACCCGGATCAACCCCGCTCCCCTTACATGCCCGGCCGAACGAAGGCTGGCTCGGCGCCGCGTAGGCGTACGTCAGTACACGTTAGTTTAGAGCCATGCCGCCAACTGGGCAAGTACTAGAGAGGCGCATATGTCTCAGGCCACAAAAAAACTGTTCAGTTTTCAAAGGCAAAAACGCCGGCGTACGCCCTCCCCTCACACTGACACTTCTCCCCTATTCCCAACTTTAGGTTGCGCACGTCTCCCAGCGAGCTAGGATCTCCGCTTTTTCTCCCCTAGTCATCCGCCCGCGCCGCGCGCCTCTATGGGCGTCTAGTGCAGCCACTGACAGAACTATTCCCGAGGAGTGGTCGACGTCTCGCCTGAAGTCGGGTGGGCTCGCGCACTGCTTAGCCCTAGGGGAGGTGTGTGTGTGAGGTGGTGGAATGGTAAGGTTTCAGGCCACAGGGGTGGGGGATTTGGGGGATGAGTCAGGAGCCAGCAGATATCATGTCCTTACGCACAAGCATGCGCGACTTGCACTCTTTCGTGCCGCTCGCTCGCCGGTGCGCGGCGCATGGCCTCCCGCGCGGCTCGCGCTCACTCGGCCTGCCTCCGCCTCACGGCTGGCTGAGCATGCCATGGGTCCGCCTGGTGCGGCGCTGCTCGCTCGCTGCGCTGCACAAAGCTGCGAGAAGCAGGGTGGCCTCCTGAGCTTGAGCATGGCGCAGCGCGGCTGCTGGTGCTCGAGGGCGGCCGTGCAGTGGCGTGAGGGCCTGATTGGTGGTGACCTCGTGCTGCATCAGCGTGCGCAGCATGCTCCCTCACCCGGTGCTGAGACATGCTGGTGGGCGACTGGCGCCAGCTTCTCAGTGCTGTCCCTGGCGTTGTGCAGCATGTCGCAATGCTCCTGCTGCGCTGACCGGCGCGCGGGGCGCGTCGTGCCGCGAGAGGAGCGAGAGGCTCGAGGCGCGCGGCTGTCGGTCATCCGCGACGCGCTTCATTTTCAGTGTATGTATGTAGCTCTTACGTACATTCCCGTAGGAGACTCTGCTGACAGGGTTTGCGATGAGGAGCGACCCGAAGGGTTTCATTTTTGCTGCGCTGTAATCTCGCTGACTAACACCGATACTAAACACCGAAAGAAAGACAACAGCGAAGGAGAGGAGTGTGGGCAAGAGTTTTTGTGGAGTGTGGTGCTAGCCGTCGCCACCCTTGCTTGGGCGTCTGCCTCTTGAGGGAAGGGGCTGAGGTGTGTCTGTGCCAGGTCTGTGCATGCATGCATGTGTGTGTGTGCGCGCGCGCGAGCCGCCCTGAACGCCACGAGCGCGCCGCGAGCGCCGTAGCGCCGCGAACGCCGGCGAGCGCCGTCGGCAGCGCGCGCACCGCCACCCAAAAGCGGAGGTACATCAGGAGCCGCAGCCGGCCTGCTTTATCAACCCCGCAGCTGCGGTGGCGAGACCGGACCGCGGGGCCGCATGAATTCTTTTGCGCGGCGATGTTGCTTTTTGTCCAGCTCACGATCTGCTTCGTCGCGCCGCCGCAGCTGCGGGACGCCAGAGCAGCCCGAACATTGCCACGCGTCGCGCCACCGCGTCTCGACTATTACGACGCCGACGGCAAGTTAGTCCGGACTGACGCCAGCGGACCTGGCGAGCGGCAGCGGCGCATTGACGAGGCGCTGGCGGCGGCGGATGCCAAGCTGGACGCGCTTGCGGAGACGGACAACATGCTACGCGCAAAGTCCATGGCTGAGCTCGGTAGCCCGCCGCCAGCGCCTGACTCTGCGCCCGAACTCGGAGGCGCGCTCGCTGCTGCGCCAAATATCTTGGGCGCCATCGCAGTGGGGCTCTTCCTCTTAAACGGCGTGGGCGTCTTCGGCGACGGCGGCGACTGGTTGGAGACCAAGGCCGCGTCCTTGACGGAGAAGGCGGAGAGCATGGGACAGGTTGAATACAAGTCGTCGAGGCAGATCGACTATAAGCCCAGCTTCTGAGCTCTAGAGTCTACGGGGTGTGGACCGGGAGTTGACCAGGGGTTGTGCGCCGGGCCCTCCTGCTCGGCTCCAGCGAGTAGACAAGTGTTACCATCAACAGAGGAGAAGGATATGACCTCAGGGCTGATGTGACCAAGCGCTGGTAGCGTGGTTTTACCTCACACCCATGGTCTCACACAGTGTGCCGGCAGTCGCCGAGCAGTGTCGGCTGTCGCTACGCCCTCACACAAGCCGCAGCACAAGTGACTGAGGGCCAGTGAGGGCGAGCCCATCGCTGTGACAGCTGTGGCAGCCGCACAGTAGGCTGTGCCAACTGTGCGGAGCGTGTGAGCAGCAGAGGAGCTGCTCTCCAGGCTTCAGGCGCAAAGAGAGCTGTGCATGGCGCATGCCCTGGCCAGCCCGGTGCCCGCACCGAAGGGGCGCTGTGCCGCTGTCGAGGTTCGCCGAGCGCGGCGAAATCTCCGGGGGCACCGTCACCGACGAGCGCGTTGGACTTTTCACTCCTGCTCCACCGCGCCGATGCATGCTTGTTGCTTCGACGGTATAACCGTATAAAAATGTAATTAAATTTAATACACATGCGAAGTTGCTGCATTGGACAGTCCTCTAGTACGGGCACGAGCCGCGCCGCGGTACCACCTTTATCGTCAGCGAGAGCTCTCTCCGCAGCTCCTCCGAATCTCGCGACTCATGCAGCTGCTGGCATGCTCCTCCTCCGCCGGCTTCTTGCAGCACGCCGCCAGGGGCGGTGGAACGCGACGCCACCTTTGCGCCGGTGCTCCGCCCGCGCGAGAGGCCGCGCGCGCCGATGCGGAAGAAGCCGGTGATGCTGCCGCGCAGGCCGCGCGTCATCCGGCTGAGTGCGCGCTGCGAGCCGGACGGGACGCGCGACGAGATGAGCTCGATGGCCCTCCGGTCGGAGAGGCGGCGGTGCTCGAAGACCGTCTTCGCCCAACTGTTGAACTCGCCGAAGGAGCCCATGCTCGCCTCAATCACGGAGAGCATCGCCTCCCGGTCCTCCGGCTTGAAGCAGGTGGCTGTCTCGGCGTCGAAGGAGCGGAGCGCGCCGATGGAGCGCTCCAGCGAGCGCTTGCGCGCGTCCGTGCCCTGGCCGTCGACGAGCGGGATGACGGAGATGCGGTCGAGCTGCGCTCCGCTCGTCATCTTTTGGAAGGTGAAGAGCTCGATCACGCACCAGAGCCGCGAGGGCCACGTCGGGCCCGCGAGGACGACCAGCTTGGCGCAGCCGGCGAGGAAGATGGGCAGGCAGGCGAGGCTCTCCGCCAGCTTGTCCTGGTCAATGCAGGCGCGGTCGAACCAAACGCGCGGCGGGCGGCCCGACTCCTTCTCAAAGTCGCTCGCCCAGCGGCAGAGGGCGTCCCACTTTGCGGTGGGTGAGTCGTGCCACGAGTGCGAGAGGAAGGCGTCGCACATCCCGAGCTCCGCCTTGTGCGAGTGGTCCTGCACCTGGCTCGGCCGCGAGAGGTCGAAGTCGGACGCGCGCAGCTTGTCGAAGGAGACGACGCGGAAGTTCTCCTCGGCAGAGGGGAGCAGCTGCGAGGTGGAGAGCTTGGCGTGCGAGCAGAGCCCGGCGACCACGGCCGCGCTCCGCTCCTCCGCCGTCGAGCCGAGTCGCGCCACCCACGCGAGGGCCGCGCCGCGCGCGCGCGGCGTCGTGACGGCCGACCAGAGGAGGGCACAGACCGAGTAGGAGATGATTGGGATGCCGTCGGGGTGCTGGAGGAGGTCGGTGGAGGTGGCGAACGGCCACCAGTCGGGCACCAGCTTCTGGTCCAGCAGCGCCGCCAGCGTGAAGTAGACTAGCACCATCGCCCCGATCGCACCGTGCGCCAGGCGGCAGCCGAGCCAGATGCCCCGCCACGCGGCGCGAGGCCGCGTGCGAGAGACGTAGTAGGCGTGGTAGAAGATCGGGCAAAAGGTGAGCGCGGCCAGGCCGCCGATGAAGAAGCAGATCCGCAGCGTCGGGTCGTCGAGCCCGGAGACGGAGGCGTAGAGGAGCAGGCCGGCGAGGGCAGAGGCGACGACGCTCGCAAACAAAGAGATGTACCGGATGACGGCGTGGTCCACGGGGCGGACCGCGAGACCGATGGACGAGACGCCGAGCATCGCAAAGTGGAGCCACACGAAGCACGAGCCCGCCAGCCGTCGCGGCCACCACCCAAAGATGAACATGAGCGACGGCAAAAAGGCCCACGAAAGGACGATGACGCCGACGGTGATCAGCAGCCCCTGGACGCGAGCACGCAGCGACCGGCCGACCCGGGTGGCGCTGCGCAGGCGCGCGGCGACGGAGAAGCGCGTCTTCCGGCTGCCGCCGCCGCTGGGAAGGCTGGCCTGGCTTCGTCGCTTCGACTCGCGAAGCCAGCGCAAGAAGGCGGTGAACAGCAGCGCAGACCAGAGCCCATTCGCAGCCAGGAAGATGGCCAGCTCTCGCCACGCCTCGCTCTCATAGTCTACGCCGCCGCTGCGCTCACAGAGGCACTGCCGCTCGCTAAGGCAGTCGACGGCGTGCCACCGGCCCCTTTGGTCGACGGTATTGCAGTCGCCATCGGACGGCTGACCCGGCGCCCAGTTGTCGTACTCCGTGCTGCACGCAGCGAGCCATGCGTCGCCGACGCGACCAGGCGCGTGCCGAAGCAGCTGCGAGACGCGATATGTCTCAATATCAGTGTCAATGCAGGCGAGAGTCGCGTTCTCCGCCACACACGCCTCGTGGCAAGCCTCGCGCCCACCGACTTGCGAGAGGACAATATAGTCGCGATCGTCTCCGCCACCGGTCGAGAGCACCGGTGCGTCATCTCCGCCACCGGTCGAGAGCACCGGTGCGTCATCTCCGCCACCGGTCGAGAGCACCGGTGCGTCATCTCCGCCACCGGTCGAGAGCACCGGTGCGTCGTCTCCGCCACCGGTCGAGAGCACCGGTACAGCGATGCTGCCGAGGAGCAAGGGTGCCGCCATGCGGCAGGGTAGAAGGCCTGGCAAGGGAATGCCGGCTCCGCCTTCACACAAAAACACAAGCACGGACCCAAGACGCACAAGCTCAGACAGTCCAGAAAGGGATAGACAGCATCGACAGTCAGAAGTCAGCGCTGGGTCCCAGGGCGAATGCGATGACGGCCTCTAGTGTGAGCTCTAGCTATAGTGAGCTCATCGCTACCACCTTCACAACTCTCCTTCACAGTACCGTACTCGAGTAGGGTACCGAACTTAAGGTAAGGTAGCTTGAGTTAGGGAGCCCTTTTCCTCTTACCGAACTCCTGTTGTAATGTACCTAACTCCTGCTACCCACCTCTCGGTCCAGCCGGACCGGCACACGGGCCACGCGGCCCGCACACCACTCTGAGGCATCGCTCCCTCCTACGCTACGACCTACGAGCACCTACGCCCGACTACGAGTGCCTACGCTACTAGATGCCCTCCTCCTCCTCCTCCTCCTCCTCCTCCTCCCCCTCCCCCTCCTCCTCACACTCGCCGCACCCTCTCGTCGTACCAGCGAGGGCCGAGGGGGCCGTCGCCGGTACCAAAAAAGAAATCCGGTACCTAACTGCTGCTACCCCGTACCTAACTCAGTGCAAAGCACCTAACCTAACTCAAACTACCTTACCTTAAGTTCGGTACCCTACGGTAGGGTGATAAGAAACAAGAACCACGCGGGCGACGACAGTGGAGGGTGTGAGAGACAGAGTTGCAGACCCAGGGAAGGTCTTTCACTACCTACAGCCCCTGCCTGAGCTCAGGCTCGACAGAGGTCGGTTTGAACATTGCGCTTAGCGTGTGGACCACTTGCTCGATGTCCCGCGTCGGCGTGTAGTTCGGGTCGTACAGGTACTCACCAGTCTCAGCGGCATTGCCATGGTACCGGTAGACCAAGCCCACCATGTACCGCAGTGCGGCGCAAGCCAGCATGTGCTCGCGCAGCTTTCACACAAAAACACAACCCCAGACCCAAGACGCACAAGCACCTTCACACAAAAACACAACCCCGCACCCAAGACGCACAAGCAAGCACAGACAGTCGAGAAGGGAGAGACAGCAACGACAGTAAAAAAAAACGCGCGCCGCCGAGGAAGAAAATAGGTTGCTGGCGAGAAACTGCGAAGAGAGATAGGAAGAAGCAGGCGCCCAAGGGTGGGCGACGGCTGCATCACACTCTCCTCCCTTAAATAAATCAATAAATCCCTGTGTGGTGGCGGCGTGCGTTCAGCGTTCTCCCATCCCCCGTTGCGCGTTGGAGAGAGAGATTTTTGAAGACCAACAAGAAATCACGACTGTCACAGTGATTTGGGCTCGGCGCGTTGCCCCAGCTGAAGGCAGTGAAGAAAGAATTTTATGCCGGTGTACCTGTGTTAGTGCCAGTGCGCGCCAGTCCCGTGCCTAGTGTTGTGTGAAAAAAACGTTCCTGTCCAAATCCATCTTTTTTCCTGCAAGCTGCATCCGCCATCCCTACCGAGCTTTCAACAACAAAATCTCTCTCGAGAGCTTTTTAGAGTGGCAGCCTCCCTGGATGGTGCGAGAGAGACAAGAGGGGAAGAGGGGGGCGAGAGGGCCAAGAGCGCCAAGGGCGAGCCTTGTTTTTTGAATTTTTCAATAATGCGGGATTAGGCATATACAGTGCGTGCTCTTGCCTTAGAAATCGGTGTTTAGAAATTGGCTGCTGGAAATTTGGCTGATTTCCCTGGCCGAAATAGAAATCGGCTGCTAATCGTCCCCCACCAGACATCGAAGTCAAATGTCAAAGACACCTCTAGGGACTGGCAAAGTGGGCTGCCACACCCACAAAGATGCAGAAAAAGGGGACACCGGCGTGACGTGGCCTCTCGACGGGTTTGTTGAAGCAGAACTTGGTTCGGCGCACGAGGCACGAGCGAGCACGCACACACGAAATAAAGGTTAAGCGGGAGGATTGAATTCGTATCTCAGGGCAACCTTTTAGTGTACTAGTATCTAGACCGTATAGTGACCGGCGCGCAGCGCCGAAGAAAATTTTGGCAGAAATCGCTTACAGAAATCGGCTGCTGGCTCGCCCGATTTCCCTCGCCGAAACAGAAATCGGCTGCTGGATGCCGACGCCCCGATTTCTATCGCCACGCCTCGCACTGTAAAGTACCGCCGGCGCAGCGCCCAACGCGCAGCGGTCCCCCGCTTTGTGGTCGCCGTTCGTCGGGGCACCTGTGCAGTCAGGGCAGGTGGGGCGTGGGGGCGGGGCGGACAGCCCACGAGAGTCTATACCATGGGACCTCTCTATACCCAGTGTGGCAGGGACCGTCCCGGCTCCCGCGCGGGGGGGACCGCCGCGCGCGGGGGGCGGGGGTTGCGGCCTGCGGGGGGCGTGCGAGGCGTGCCGGTGGAGGCACGTCCGAAGTAAAGATATATCACTTTTTCCCTCAAATTGCGGGGTACATACTCGTACATGCCGCCAGACGTACGCCAGGAAAGCAAGGGAAATAGGGTGGTGGCAGTGGCAAGTATCGGCGCGGTGCCGGTGAGAGGACCAACCGCGGCGGCCGGCGCGATCCCCTTCTCGCGTCCCGTCTGGCGCACCCGCAGAGTGCGACGCACCGTGCGTTGACGCTGCTCCTGCCCACGCATCCTCACGCGCCCTCCTCCGGCGCCCCCACCTCGACGGGCTCCCAGCTGCTGCCATCTGCCGGCAGAGGCGGCGGGTCGGGGTCGGTGGGCCGGGCGGCTTGCGCGCAGCGGCGTCGGGCGGGCATGTTTGGCGCCTTCCGTTCTGTAGACGAGGAAGATCTCCTGGTCGTTTTCGACCTGCGCCGCCCGCAGAGGCGCGCCGTCGGGGTCGGCAGCGGAGGCGGGTGGCGGGCACTGCTAGGGTGCGACACTGCGTGGACGCTCGGCCTGGGAGCGGGCGCGCCTTTTGGTCGGCGAGGCTCTTCTTTTCGTCGAGCGGCACGTCGCCATTCTTGTCGAGGAAGAGCTTCATCTCGGCCGCGTCAACCTTGCTGATGGCGCTCAGCTTTTGGCGCAGGTCGGAGGCGGTGTCGGAGAGCTGGACGTACAGAAAGATGATGGTGTTTCGCCGCTTGACGCGGACGTAGTCCTGAGCCGAGGTGTCCTCGGCCATGGTGGCGACGGGGCGCTGCGCGCTGGGCGTTCGAGCGGGTCGCGCGGGGCACCGCCACCCAGGAGGCGAACCGCAACGACTACAGAAAAAAATCTGGCCGCGGGGCCTTGGGGCGGGTGCGGGCTTTATCTGATACGCTCAACAGCACAAATGATCTCAGAAGTTTCATTCATTTGAGAGGACCCTCTAGACTACAATCGAGTACTTGAAAAGAAAGAAAGAAAGAAAACAGACAACCCAAGGGAGGGATGGGATGGGAGAACGGCACGCCGCCACCACAGGGATTTTAAGGAGAGGAGTGTGATGCGCTAGCCGTCGCCCACCCTGGGGAGTCTGCCTCTTCGTATCTCTTTTCGCAGTCTCTCGCCGCTTCTCGCTGCAACCTTCATGCCACCTCGCGGCCGTCCCACTCTCGTCGTTCTCTCCCTTGTCACTTCCTCCTCTGTCGCGTCGTTCTCTTCTGCCTCGTCCTGCGAGTACTTGAGCACTTGAGCACTGGCTGGATATAGGGAGTAGGGTCGATTCCGCATACTCGATCGATCGAGTAGAGGACCCTCTACTCGAGTATAGGCTATAGCTCTCGAGGACCCTCTGCGGCACGAGGACCCTCTACGCACTACGCTCTAGAGAGAGAGATTTTAGAAAACCAACAAGTACAAGAAATCACGACTCTCACAGTGATTTGGGCTCGGCAGCTTGTCAGCCCTCAGCCGAAGCTGGGGCCGGTCCCGTAGCCGAGAGAGCCCGCGCCGATGAGTACGCTCTACGGGAGGTGAATGTGGCGCTAACAAAACTTTGGCTCAGCTCTGACGCACCCGCGCTTCGCCCACACAAGCAAGGCGGACATAAATAAAGCGCCGCCCTGCAACGGGGGTGGGGGGGCACGTAGTGCGCCAGGGGTTCTAGGCGACGGTGGCGTCCTCCAGCGGCGAGCCTGAGCTCGGTCGCGATCTCATCCGCCGAAAACATCCTTCTACGACAATTCGGAAACCTTTAGCGCCGCTCGACGACGCACACCGCCTCACCCAGCGTCTTTAAATTGCGTCACCGGTGCACTCCCACTCCGATGTGCGATGAGCCTCTTAACGGCGAGCCGTGCCTACTGACAATGGACGAACCGGCATACGTCGCGCTGGCGAGCTCTCTGGGCTTAAACGACATCGCCAACTTTCTCGTTGCCCTCGGCTCGGCCAGTGCGCGCATTCGCTACATTATCCAGCTCGTCATCGACCGGCGAGTCCAACAGCACAAGCGCCTTCCACCTGTGGATCAAGATTCGGATCAAACAATTACAGGGTCGGAGAAGGTTGATGGCATCCGCTGCCTTTGGGAAGTGCGCAGTCGTAACAGCAACATAATTTATCCCCGGCAGGTTGCGAGCTTGTCGATGACGAGGCCATCGAGTAGGAGCACCGCCGTGACATGCCAAGCACCGCCCAAAACGATGTCTTCGGCGTTGTTTACCGTCACGACGACTACCGAATCTGAAGTGTCTCCATTCCACCCATGCAGTCCCCGGAGGCGATCGTCGCCTCCTCGCTCATCCCAAAGCTGCCGATCGGCGCACGCTCCGACCCAATTCGACCTCCGGAATGAGCTGAGGAATGACCCATGCGCGATGGAACCTTCGCCACGCGTGTTTTGCATTCGTGGATCGTCTCGCAGGCTGCACAGCGGCCGTTGACATGTGCTTCCAGCTTCCTGCTGCGACTTTGTTTCGGGGTCGGTCGGCTGCTAGCGAGCGTGCCTGGCCCAGAGACCACGGCCTGTCTGCCTGCTTCAGAGCTCGTGGGATGGCCTACGCAAGTCCCACACGCGCATAGAAGCGGTTGTCGTGCCGCCCCCAACCTGCGAGGATCTTATTCTATAAAATACATAGAGAGAGAGAGGGTATTATTACTGAGCTGGATCCTGCCTAGTCAGAATGCCGCTAGGTTGAACGCTCACCATTATGCATTAAAGCAGGCCAGGTCTCACCACCTCTAATTGGATCCCTAGATCTTTCAATCCCCGGAGATCTTTCAACGAACGACTGACAACGTTCGTGTGCTCGGCTCTCAGCTCTAGTCTGGTTCAGAAGATGGCTCCGTGGGGTCCCGAGGAGGAGGAGATGTCGGAGAAGTAGGGCGCTCCACCAAACCCTATTCGTCGGCAGAGCCTTGATTGAGCCGCAGCCCGCGATCGCGCGTCCGTTTTTATTTTCCATCATGGCGCACGCCCTGTGTGCTTCGCTGTGCTGCGCACCTGTGTTGTTTTGTGTTGTCCCGCCCGCCCGCCCGACGTTTGTGGTTCGTATGGTGTGCTTGTCCGTGTGTGCCTTCCTGCGTCATGATACACCACAACGCTCCCCCTTCCTTGCCCAATGGGCCCGCATGCAAAGCAAACACTCATGACCGTGATCCGATCTCGCATGCACGGCACAGCGGCATTCGCAACCATCGGCGCAAACGCACACACTTCAGCTCGCCGCATGGGACTCCTTGCGCCACATTGTGGACGCTCACGGCAACCACCCGACACTCACTTGTCGGACTGTACCGCCTCGCAAGGGGGCGCGCCTCGCAATCATCGGCCGCACCTCAGCCGGCCGCCAATCCGTGTCCCAGGACTGCAACGGCGGGCCTTCGCTACCCTCCCCTTACCCCTGCAGCTCTCGACGGAGGTTGTATGCGGGTACACCGCCTGCAGCCCCGCCGCGAGAGGTCCACGTTGTCGTCAGAAGCCGTAGATGTCGTGCTGGAAGCTCCCAGCTCAAGGCAAGCAGTAGCACGACGCTTCACCGCTCGTCGAGCTGTCCGTCATCGTCTGGCCTGCTTGCTGGCTGGCGAACAGCACCCGCCGCTCTTGTGTGTTGCCCTTCATGGAGGTGGCAATGCAGCTGCACGATGTGCCAGCTGCGCAATCGGTGCTGGCAAACGAGCAGCGGGCCGGTTCGGCGGGCGAGCACGACTTAGCTGCAGGGCCCATCATCGTATTGTCGAGCGCGATGTCCACCTTTGCTTCTGCAATGAAAAAGAGCTGCGCCCCGAGTGGCCAACCTGTGGAGAAGCCGTGGAGCTTGCGTGAGTACACAACCGCCGTTTCATCACTGGGCGGAAAGGCATACGCGTTGAGCATTGCCACGATGTATGCGCTCGAGAAGCAGTAGCTCTGCGAATACTTGGACGCGACGTCGGCCCATGGCTTTGCACAAAACTCGGCGCCCTTTGCGCTGATTTGGTTGGTCGAAAGTGCCTTTGCGTCGCCCCAATCGACGAGCCCGAGCCCGTTGGCTGTGAAGAAGAGCGCACCCCGAGCCCAAAACTTGACGCCAGTGGGCGGCGGCTGATAGACGCCTTGTGCAGCACACGGCTCAAGCAGGCATTCGTTCTGCTGGTTAAGCAGCGCTTGTGTGAGCTCTTTACATTTGCTATAGTCGCCTGTGCCACGAAGGGTGCGTTCGCCAGCGCCCGCCACGTTCATGGAAAAGTTGAACCCTTGATTGTGGCACGGGCTGTCTAGAATCGGGCTTTCCTGGCTCCTGGATGCCAACGCCTTTGCATAGCGCAGCATCGCCTGATCTTGCCCGGACCGCATGTATGAGTACGAGTAGACGCGCTCTTGGGAGCTATCAACCCTTAGGCGGTAGCCAAAATCTTGGATGACTCCACTTGCCGGCGCAAACGTGACCTGAAAGGACGCCCCACCGTAGTCGAGGCAGCCCAGGAACACATCCTTTCCGAGCGTTGTCTGGAGAACGTACTTGTTCGTAAGCCAGTTAAAGAGGCCCTCGTATCCACCGGCGATGGTGTGGGCCGCCGCAAACTCAAAGCCAGAAGCTGTGATTGCCGCCTCAACAGCCGACCAGATAGGCACTTGCTCCATCTCGGACAACAGACGCATTCCCGCCGTGCCAAAAGCCCGGACTTTTGTAGTACTCGGGTCTGGTACCGCGAGGCGGGCCTGGTCCAGAAGGGGAGCGAGATAGGCGGTCAAGGCCTCCGGGTTGTTGGCGAACGACGAGATGCCTGGCTCAATTTCAAGCTCGACATCCGCCTCGGTGATGCTCCACCCCTTCTCCGGCCAGCTGAAGACACGGGCGCGTGTGCCAGAGGAGCCACAGTCGAGGATGATGCCCCATTGCGAGGCGGTGACCGCATGTGCGAAGGAAAGCGGCACCAGAGGGGAGAGTGATCGCATCGCCAGCACAAAGGACCCGCTTAGAAGGCCGCCGTGAGCACTCGCCGCGATGAGGCAGATGAAGACGGTGCAGAGCTCGGGCCACGAGAGCAAGCCGAAGGGAGAGACGGAGCCCTCCGGCGTGACCGGCTTGACCGTCTTGGGCTTGACCGTCTTGGGCTTGACCGTCTTGGGCTTGACCGTCTTGGGCTTGACCGTCTTGGGCTTGACCGTCTCGGGCTTGACCGTCTTGGGCTTGATGACCGTCGCGCCCTGAACAGGGGCGCGAGACTGGCTGTGAGCGGCGAGCAGGGGGCGGAAACCGCACATGCAGGCGGCGAGCACCGAGTTTGTGGCCGACGGCGTGGATCCGCGGGTCGCCTTGGAAGGCGCCTTGCCGGTGTCGGCGCCACCGACGATGCCCTCGTCGCCGCCCGCCCCGATCAGGGCCCCGTAACCGTTGCTGCAGTCGATCGGGGCGGACGCCTCCTTGCGCTCGTTGTTGCGGCGCGACTTTGAGGGGGTCGTCCACTCGGAGATGTCCTGTGCACACGCGCAAGCTGGGCGCGTCAGCAGCTGTGAGCGCAGCTCCGCTTGCACCGCAGCATGCGAGGCGCTCGCCGCCGGGGCGGGCTTCTCCTCTGGAAACACCTTGGCCGAGACCGTCCAGTCGGCGTCGCCCTATCGAAAGCGGGATGGGATTAGGAGCGTGGCTCCCAGACGCAGCACACAGAAAGCACAAGGCGCTCACCGCCGGGGCGGGCTCCTCCACTGAAAACTCCTTGATCGACGGCAGCGGCGCGCCGTCGGCGGCGACCGGCAAGAAAGCCGGCGCGTCTTCG